AAATAAAAGGAGCTACAGCTGAGCCATGGCTGTGTGCCAGGCGCTGTATGTTCACGATCTCCTGTCACCTCTACTCCTGCCTCTGGGTGAGGTGTCACCCCATTTCACAGCAGAGGAGACAGGCTCAGCAGTGCCAGCCTGCCCAAAGTCTCCCGGCAGGTAGGTGGCCAAGGCAGGTTTGAGTCCTGTCCCTGCCCCCCAGCCCTCTTCATTCCTCCACAAGAGGCCCCACGCTGCCTCCGAGTGAGCTGGGGGCCGTGCACAGGTGGCTTAGCCCACATGGGTGCTGCACGGGCTGCTGTCCCAGTGCCCTGAGCCCTGGCAGCCCCTGGGACTGGGCCCAGCCCCTTCCCGGGCAAGCAGGGAGCCCCGGGGCAAGGTTCTGGGAAATCAGGTTTATTAGCTCCTTAATGACTGTTTACAAGCTGAAGTGTTTGCCTGGCATGTTCCCTCCCTGCTGGGGGGCTCCAGAAGTGAGGGGACCCATGGCAGCCATCAGCTCCCTGGGCTCTCGCCCAGCCAGCCCAGGGCCCTGTTTCTGGATGGGTGATGCTGGGCAAGGTGTTTGCCTGTCTGTAAAGTAGGTGGAGACTCTGTCCCTCAGCCGAACGTGCTCCTGGGCTGAGCCCAGTTAATGGTGACAAAGCCACCTAGGTCTTACATCTTACGCATAAACTGAGGCTCAGAGACATTAAGTGGCTTGCCCAAGATCACACAGCGGTTGGGACTGGGCCTATGCCCTGTTTTCCCCCGCTGGGCGGTGTTTTCCCGCTCTGGAGCCAGACCATGAGAAGCGGGTGGAAATGGGTGGACTCACCTTACAAGCCCAGGACAGAGCCCGTCTTTATGGGTTGGTGATTGTGTTTGGAAACGGCGCGGTCACACCTTGGTGTCAAGGAGCTGCCAGCAGAAGTGAAGCGGGCCTGCCCTCCCCTCAACCACTGAGCATGTGCTGGACCCTCCTGCTACCGCTTGTGAGGACCCGTGAGAACCCAGCTCCCAGGACCCCGAGAGGCAACTCTTCATGAGTGTTCGGAGCACAGTGCGGTTCACACAAGCCTGCGCTGGTGTGGTTCCCCGCGTGTACATACACCCCCTCCAGGAACCCTCTGGTGTCCTGGCGTCTGAGCCTGAATACATGGGGCCTTCTGGGCCTCCGGGGGCCACTTCTGACATCTCCCCCTTCCCCACGTGCTGAAGGAGCAGCAGAACTGGGGCATAATGTGCAGCCTTCTCGACACGGCAGGCCCTGGGCAGAGCACCCCAGGACCTGGCCACTGTGCTTCCTCCTTTCTCTCCACTGTCCCCCAGCCTGCAGTCGAACCCCTGGCTCTGGGAGCTGCTGCCGCTTGCCTGGGGTGTGCAAGGACGTCTGTATCCTGCCCCCCCACAGCAGTTTCTGGGATCCAGAGATTTCCAGAGGGGCCTGTGGGAGGGTACAGTGGGGGGCAGCACTGTGCATGTTGGGTGACCTGGCTGCCTTCTTGCTGCCTGTGTGCCCCCAACCTTGCATGTTGCCAGCAGCTGCTGCATCTTGGGCTTCAGGAACACAGGGCTCGGGTATCTCCAGCCGGCCTCCTGGACCAGGGACCCCAGCAGGGGAGAGGGACATTCACACCTCTGCGAGCCCTGCTGGCAATTGGTTCTGAGAAAGCCCAGATGGATGTCAGGTTCTGTACTGCTCTAAGGTCATGCTGTGTCCCCCTTGCCAGACACACACACGGGCCCACACCCTCACACCCTGCTCTCGGCGGCTCCTGGAGCCCAGCACCCGTTTCCCGTGTCTGTGGTCAGCCTGGGCCGCCTGAGCCTCTGCAGATGGGTGGAGGGGAGCCCAGAGCCCGGGGTCCGATGGGGGAGAGCCCAAAGAAGTCAGTGGGTGGCCAAGCCCCAAACCTCCAGTTCTTTTTTCTTTTTTTTTTTTTTTTTTGAGACAGAGTCTCACTTTGTTGCCCTGGCTAGAGTGAGTGCCATGGCGTCAGCCTAGCTCACAGCAACCTCAGACTCCTGGGCTCAAGCAATCCTTCTGCCTCAGCCTCCCAAGTAGCTGGGACTACAGGCATGCACCACCATGCCCGGCTAATTTTTTTCTATATATATTTTTAGCTGCCCAATTAATTTCTTTCTATTTTTGGTAGAGACGGGGTCTCGCTCTTGCTCAGGCTGGTCTCGAACTCCTGAGCTCAAACAATCCGCCCGCCTCGGCCTCCCAGAGAGCTAGGATTACAGGCGTGAGCCACCGCGCCCGGCCAAACCTCCAGTTCTTGATCTTCTGAATCGAGTTTGGGGCAAGCCCTTGGAGGGCGAGAGGGAGAAAGAAATAGAGGGCTGTCTGGGCAAGGCCCGCCGTTCATAGGACATCTGGGGAACCCACAGGCCATTTGCTCTTCCTCCGTCGGCGCATGGCGCTGCCGGGCAGAAGTGCTCACCAGCAGGTTAAGTGCGTGTCTGCACCCACTTGCCTCCAGGTGCCAGGAGGGAGGAGGGCGTGCAGGCCCCTGGTTGGCTCCTGGAGATTTGACAGCTGGGCCCCTAGCCCTGGAGCCCCCTTACCCGTCCCCTCTAAGTCTGCTGGTGGAATCTGGGGCCTCTGGGGGACATGCTGCTGCTGCTGAGGCCCCTACCTTCCCTTTTGTCTCTCCTGACTTCCCAGACCACCCCCAGCCCCGGGGCCAGCCTTCTTTCCACTCTCTGCCTTTTGCCCTGGTCCCTACCGCCTCTTGCCAGGGCAAGGAATGTGCAGGGCTGAGTCACTGGCTCTGCGGGGCCCAGCTTGGGGACGTGTTGGGGAGACATGAGCTGTCCTTCCAGGCCGCCGCGCAGCTGGAGAACTCCCCGAGGTCAGCAGAACCAGGGTTTCTGCTGGGGATTGCACAGTGGTGAGGGCCCCGCTTCCTCTCTGCAGCTTTCTAAAAATGCCGTGGTTCCCAGCAGGGCCACAGGGAGGGAAGATCGAGTTTCGGTTTCTGTGGCAGAGAAGCTGGGGAGAAGACATCGTCCAGGCTGTGTGCACCGCCTGCTTCTGTCCTGACCGCCGCTCTCCGGGACATCAGGTGGTCTCCGCACAGCTCTAGAGCCCCAACCAGGCTGGAAGTGGCTTCTGGGACAGGTGGTGGTTTCCTCACTTCCTTTGCAAAGGGGACTTCAGCCCCTCCCCACAGGGGGTCCTCTAAATTGCCTGGCCACATCCAGTGGTTATGGGTGGTCTCCCTCTTTCCTGTCTGAAGGGGAGCAAGCTGCTCACTCCTTATCCTAGGGCCCCTCACTCCCCTCTGTCCCCATTTCTGGCCACGTGCAGGCTTGGCCCTCCTGTCTAGCTCCTGCCTATTTCTGTCTGGGGCCGCAGGTGATGCTCTCGCCCTGCCCTGGCCCGTAAAGTCGACAGAGCTCAGGAGTTGTGGCATCTGCCATTAGCAAGGCCGCAGGAACCTGCTAGTGTGGGGGTGCTGGTGGCAGGCAGGTGGAAACGAAGAAAGGGGACTCGAGCCAGACACCTCAACACAGGTGGAACTGCAGCTGGAGCCGGGGGTGGGGGGGAGAATGGGCTGCAGCCGAGCCAGAAGGAGGGGTACAGTATCCAGCAGGCCTCCTGGTGGGGAGGGGGTCCCTCCAGCCCTTGCTTACACTGGCTGTGTGGGACAGGGCTTGGTTGGGAGCACCCAGCCCCACCCTTTGTGGGGAAACCGGATTCTCTGGGCAGCAGCTCCAGTGGTTTCTGAGTCTGCATTTCTGTCATATGTGCCAGATCTTGGCCGTTGCTACCTGGGTTGTGCTATCTTAAAAGCTGTCTGAGGTGGGGGTGGCCCTGACCCCCGGCAGGGTGGGAAGCAGAGGCCCCAACCCATGGGGACCCCGGGGTGATCTGAACTCTGCACTTCACGTTTTCTCTGGATCTGCCGTCCACACCCCCATGCTGGGCCTGCCCCCAAAGAGGAGGAAATACAGTCTGTCCCATCCTGACTCCCCCTTTCCCCCCACCCCCGAGCTCCAGCGCCCTTTGGAGCCTCCCAGCTACTCTGGGGCTGGGGTACACGGCCCCAAGGAAGCCAGGACCCTCCATGGGCAGGTGGCAGTGGCCAGCCCGTGGGCTAGGTGCGGAAGCAAGCCTGGGATCTTAGCAAGAGTGGCGGATGTGACCGCGGGCCAGGAGGAAGCCTGGTCCCAGGATGTCACCATTTCCTCTGCAGTGAGCAAGCACTTCTGGGGACAGGAGATGATGAGTGTTGGGTAGGGCGGCTCCAAGGCTCCAGCACCTTCTTCTGCCTGGTCCCTGCCATGTGCTCCTCCACGCCCTGGACTTGGCTCAAGAGTGGGTCTGACAGTCCTGAGCCCTGAGGAGGGGGCTGGGCTCCTGGCCCCCCAACTTTTGCACAAGTCGGGGGCAGGTAGTCTCAGGAACGGGCCCTCTGCTCCCTGGTGGAGAGGGGCCGGGGCAAAGTTGGCGTTTTATACTCTATGGACTTCCTGGGTGTCAAAGCTGGGCCAGCACCTTGTCCCACTCCTTTGCTTCACAGAGAAAGAAACCGAGGCCCAGGCGGTGAAGCTGCTCACAGGCTACTGCCCAGGACTCTTGGCGTGCTCTGTGCTTAAGACTGCTCTCCCAGATGCCCTACTCTCCAGGGTCAGGCCACTTCTCTTGGGGACCCCTCCCCAGGAGTGCCCTGGGGCTGTCTGAGTCTCCCCTTCTTTCAGCCTGGGGTTGTGTCTGCCCCTCCCGGCAGGAGGGTGGCATAGATGCCAGCGGCACAACAGGTCCTGGGTCAGGAGGTCCCAGCTGGAATGGCCTGGCCTCAGGAGGGGGACGCTGGCTGGGCAGCACCCCAGGAGGAGCCAGATGGGGAGTCTGGACTGTGTTGAGGGGGGTTCCACTGGGGATTCATCTTAGGACAGCATCTAGCCTCCTCCATCCTGGCCCTGCAGTGGGCACAGAGCTGGGGGCTGCTTCCAGGGCTCACTGCAGGACTGGGGGGACAGCTGCCGTCTGGGGCCAATGTGGACTGACCATCCCCAGTCACCCATGCCCTCTCACCAGCCTCCTGCCCAATTAGCCATTAATTGGGGCCAGCGGAGTGCTGGGTTCTACGCTGCCCAGCGTCGAGTAGGGGGCACCTACATGTAGGCAGATCTGCAGGACGCTGTGAGAGAGCAGATGAGAAAATGGCTGATTCTGTCTGGTGGTGACAGGGCAGGCTTCCTGGAGGAGGTGACATTTTACTTTCCTTAAAGGAGCAGTAGGGCTTGGCTAGGCAGGCAAGGCAGAGCCTGGCATGTGCAAGGCCTCAGGTGACAGGAGATGGGAGCTTGGGGAGCCCCAGGAGGACATGGTTTGTCTAGAAGGCGTGTGGGGGAGACCTGAAGTGCTGACTCCTGGGAGGTGTGATCAGCTCTGGATTCCAGAAAGATCGCGCCTCCTTGGTGGCCTTAACTGCAGCCCGGTGGCCCCAGCCTCCTTCCGCTGCTGCCTCCCTTCCGCCTCGGTGCGGTTTCCCAGGGCAGAGCCCTCCCGATGCCCTCTCACTGCACCTGCTCCCGGGGAGGTCCAGCTGGGGAGCTTTCTGTGCAGAGGCCCCAGGTGAGGCTGTTGCTTGGAGCTGTCCCCAGAGTGGGCGCGGGACTCGGGGTGCTGGCCATGGCTTCACCCGAGAGGTGTCCTCGTGTGGCTGCCTGGGCTCCTTGGAGCCAACCCTGCTCAGCGCCCACAATCAGGGCCTCAGTGTACACGGCCGGGCGGTCTGCTCCTGCCTGCGGGGTCAGGCCTCCTTGGCACTTTGGGATGGAAGGAAGTGCAGCTGATGCTGTTGGTCTAGCCTGAAAGAAGCAGGAAACGTCCCAGGCCCAGCTCTGCCTCAAGATTTCTCCTTGGCGCCCCCTCCACACCCAGCATTCCGCTCACCTGTGCTATAAGGGCCCCAGCAGCCAAAGTCCCCGCTCTGGTACGCAAAGGGCACTGCTGGAGGGAGTCAGAGGAGGGCCTGAGCCCATCCCCGAGTCTCGGTTTGTCCCACTGCTACCCCTCAGGCACCTCTGGGCAGCCCCAGGCAGGCGGATGATCCCCAGTTCATAGGTGGGGAGACTGAGGTCAGGAGGATCAAAAGGCCCAATGGTCAGCCTGCCCCCTGGAGCCTGCCCTCCCTTCGCTGCAGGCCGAGAGCACCCAGGAAGCTGCCCTGCTTGACCTGGAACCGTCGTCTGTCCGTCCATCCACCTGTCCATAGAGTTTGACCCTGGCAGCGTCTGTACAGCGAGGAGAGGACAAGAACATGCTCTGAAGACCTTCGCGACAAGACCGGGAATCCGTGGGCCGAGCCCAGACCTTGAAGGTAGGAAGCCGGGGGCCGGGTGGCTGGGCCCGGGGCACTGGCTGCTACGGGCATCTGTTATCCAGCAGATACTGAGTCTTGGGGGTGGGAGGAGGCTGACGCTCTTCTGGCCCTACAGCCGTGAATGCTGAAGGAGGGAGGGTAATCGTGGGAGCCAGCGGGGGAATGAAGAGGGTGGGGGGGGCTACCCTGAGGACCAGAGGATGAGGAGGAGCCACCTTCTCTGCTGTGTGACGGGGAGGAGTGCCTGGCTCAGACTGAGGCCTGGCTTTGTCGGGATACAGTCCGCACGCCATTCAGTTCGCTCGTTTACAGCGTGCGGTTCGGCGGTTTTTAGTACGGTCACAAAGCCGTGCAGCCATCACCACAGCCAAGTTTAGAACATTTTCACCACCCAAAGCAATCCTGCTCCCTTCAGCTGTCCCCCCCACGCCCCCTTCCCCAGCCCTAAGCAACCACTGATCTACTCCTAATCTAAGTGTCCCCAGTGTGGGCTTTCATACGAATGGAGTCACAGTAGGCGGCCTTCTGTGACCGGCTCCTTCCACTCGTCCACGTCGTAGCCTGTGTTGGGGCATCACGACACTCCCCTGCGTGGCTCTGCCGCGTTTTGTCTGTCTGCGCTTCTGCTGACGGACATTTGGGTCGTTTCCACCTTTCGGCTCTCGGTGAGCATTCCTGCGTTTCTTTCGAGATCAGACGAGACCAGGCGTGTTCAGGGTGCGTGGCCGTAGACGCGTTCCTGGGTTTCTGAGTGTACGCACCGCTTGAGTGTTGGTCGTGCGTTTACTCATTGGATCCCCGAGCCCTACTCCGAGGGAGGGAGGGACGGTTACTCCCGCATCGTATGGGCACGGGCTTGGCCGACCCTCCCCGACAGCAAGTGCCAGGCCACGCGGGGGTCCAGCCTGTGCTTTCCACCAGGAAACACCACCACCCCACCTCCCAGCAGAGCTCAGCCAGTTTGAGACAACGAGGGGCCCAGAGCGGCTGGGTCGGGGGAAGCAAGAGAGCGGGAGGAGATGCAGAGGGCTCCTGGAAGCACAGGGACAAGTTTGGACGTTAAGTGAGAACGGGCAGTGCTGGGCAGTGTTAAGCAGCGTGTGACATGGTGCGACTCGTGCTTTTGGAAGCCGACCCCAGCTGCTGCGTGGAGAAGCCAGTATCGGGGGGTCCTATAGGCAGCAGGCAGAGGAATTGGGAGACTGGTGTGGCCCTGCAGGGGGGAGGATGGTGGCTCTGGTGGAGGCGGGGCAGACTCAGAATAAACCTGGCTGCCCTGCCTGCCTGCGTGCCCCACGCTTTAGCGGCCACACACCCCCGTGGCCACAGGGCTCCCGGTTGAGCTTCCCCCAGTCCCTGCACACCCAGGATTGGGACCCACGTCGGAAGATGGGCTTGGAGTCCCTGGCCTTGTACAAGGGGAGGAAAAACCAAACCTGCCCTGGGAACCTTGGGACATAGGGGAGAGGAAGCAGCTGGAGGTTAGCAAGAAAAGGTCATGGGTCAGAGCAAGAGCTGAAATGAAGAGAGTGAAACAGGCAGTGGGTGTGAGTTCTGGTGGGCACAGAGGGGAAGTGGGACTCGGGGCACACACGGAAGAGCCCCCAGTCGGGTAAATTGCCACCTCCTCTTTGTGGGGTATTTGGCAAGATCCACTGTAATTTGGGATGTATTTACCCTTCAACCCAGCCATTCTGCTTCTAGAACTGTGTCTTGCAGTAATACTGGAACAAGCACACACAGTATAGGCAAGGGTGTTTGTTGCAACATCAGAGACATGTCTGAAGTGCCAGAAAGATCTTAAGTAACCATTAATTGGGAATCAAAAAACCTTGGTGTGTTCCACTCAATGAAATCTTTGCAGTCGTCAGAAGAGCTAGAGCAGGTCTGTCTGTCTGTGTTGATGGGGAAAGATGTCCACACTGCAGATGAGAAGGTCTGAGCATGTGTGAAATCTTTAAGTACTTGTGTTGTTTCCGGCGCAGAGAGGCACCCCCAGAGGAGGGGGCACAGGCGGGCTGTGCTCTCACCTCGCTTTCTACTTTATGGACCCCTGAGTTTTTTTTTTCTTTTTTTGCAATGAGTGTATGTCATTTCTATTGTCAAAATAACCTGTTTTCTCACTGTGAAAAGAAAAAGTACCAAACAGGTGGCAGTTTCACTTATCTTTGAAAAACGAGCTGGGCAGCTGTAGGGGACAGGCACCAGCATGGGAGCTCTCGTCTCTTGGGGAGTTCGGCCGAGCCCCACTTCCTGCTGCCCGGCTCAGGGACCCCTCCTCTGAGAACCTCCTCTCCCCGCACAGGTGCAGCCGCAGCAGGCACCTGCCCAGTGGAGCTGTCAAGACCTTGTCAGTGGCTTGGTGTACCAGCTTGGTTCTTAGTCCTGGCTGCCTGCCCTGTCACCAGGTCCCCACCTTCCCAAGGTCCTGCCGCCCCCGCCCACGCCCTCTGCCCCTCTCCCTGTCTCCATCCAGCCCTCCTGCTTCCCGCCCACCATGGCCTCCGCCGGCAAGAATGGCGGGAGCGTCTCCTCTGTGTCCAGCAGTCGCCTGCAGAGCCGGAAGCCACCCAACCTGTCCATTACCATCCCGCCACCTGAGAAAGAGGCCCAGGCCCCTGGGGAGCAGGACAGCATGCTGCCTGAGGTAAGGGGGCGGCCAGGGGGCTCACGGCCCGGCCACAGGTCGCAGATGTGCGCATGCAACTCCTTTCAGACAGTTTCACTTCCCAGAGAGACGCCTTCCTGAGCTACAGCTGGCCGTGCAGCCGACTCAGGCCTCACCCCCTCCTTCTTGGGCCCGAAATGTCACAGGGAGTGAGGCCCTGAATGCAGGGGGCTCGTCTCGCCGCGGCCAAGGGGACACAGGCAGTGCAGGCCTCCAGAGAGGGCGTGCTGGTGAACCTGGGCCCTGGCAGTTTTCATCTCATCTCCCAGGCCCAACTCCGGGTGTCCCTGCTGAGGGGTGGGGCTGTCTGCGACTCAGGTGAATGGGGACAGTGTCTTGCAGCATCAGCAGCCTGCCTTTGCTGCGCCCGGTTCCTCTGGGAAGATGAAAATGAATCAACATTTCCGACAGTCTGGACTCTTGCCCCACAAAGAGCTCATTGAAAACAGGCTCCTAACAGCATGGCCTGGACATAACGGGAGCGATGTTCGCGCCGCCCGCTCGCCCCCAGCGCTCTGCAGAGCGCGCGGAAGCGGGCGCGGACGTCACGTGTAGTGGGAAGCACTGGATGAGCAGCTAGGGAAACGCATGCCGGGTTTGGCTGAAAACCATGAGAAAATGGTGATTTTAAGTTCAGAATGAAAGCACCTCAGAGCTATAAATCAGGGTTGAGGTTTGTTCTCAGGGTTTTCACGTTGGGAGGCCAAAGAAGAGCCAGCCGGGGACCTGGGCTCCGCACGTCACAACTCGCGCTCCCTCCCCACCCCCCAGAGGCCCAAGAACCCGGCCTACTTGAAGAGCATCAGCCTCCAGGAGCCGCGGACACGATGGCAGGAGAGCAGCTCAGAGAAGCACCCCGGCTTCCGCCGCCAGGCCTCCCTGTCCCAGAGCATCCGCAAGTGAGCCCCCCACCCTCCTGGCCACCCCCAGCAACCTGTAGATTCTTGGCGACTGGACATTCGCTGGGCCTGCGCCTCCTGTCCCCTCTTCGGGAGGAGGAGGCAGGCATTAGTGAGCTACGTCTCCCTGCAGAACCTAATATCATGGCATAGATGGGGAAACTGAGGCCTCGCAGGAAGTCACAGTGCAGAGGCTGAGGGGGTTCAGGGAGCTGGAGGTGGACTACTGCCCTGCGAGGGGGTTCCCGGGGCCCTCCCAGGCCAGCTCTTCACGCCCAGTCTTCACTCTGCTCCTGCTCATGTGGTCACTGGGCTCCAACCCCGGGGCTGGGGGGCTGGAGGGCTGGAGGGCAGGCCAGTCTGCCCCCACCCCCCGCAGGCCCTCGGGTGCACGCACGCGGTCATCCCTCACGCCTCTTCCTCTGCACGCTTGGGCACCACGCGCTGCCACCCTTCCTGCACACACACCCCTGTGCGCAGGTGTGCGCGAGCATCCACCCACTTGCCCTGTCCCCACCCCCAACCCCCGCAGGGGCACGGCCCAGTGGTTCGGGGTCAGCGGCGACTGGGAGGGGAAGCGACAGCACTGGCAGCGCCGCAGCCTGCACCACTGCAGCGTGCGCTACGGCCGCCTGAAGGCCTCGTGCCAGAGGGACCTGGAGCTGCTCAGCCAGGAGGTGCCGTCCTTCCAGGGCACCGAGTCCCCCAAACCCTGCAAGATGCCCAAGGTGGGCTCCATGGATTGGGGGAGGGGCGGTGGGCGGCTTCCCCCAGGGCCCAGAGCAGATCAGTTCCGCTCACCACCTCCCCCGCTTCCAGATTGTGGACCCGCTGGCCCGGGGCCGGGCGTTCCGCCACCCGGACGAGGCGGACCGGCCCCATGCCCCGCACCCGCCGCTGACCCCCGGGGTCCTGTCCCTCACCTCCTTCACCAGCGTCCGCTCTGGCTACTCTCACCTGCCGCGCCGCAAGAGGATATCTGTGGCCCACATGAGCTTTCAAGCTGCCGCTGCCCTTCTCAAAGTGAGGGCCCCCTCCTGCAGGCTGCCCCCCACGCCTCTGCCCATGACCCCCGTCATCCCTCCCTCCCACTCCTCATAGCGCCCCCTAAAGCTCACCCTGGGGTCTGCCTTCTGTGCCAAGGACAGAGAGTGGCCTGGGCCCCCAGAGCAGAGAGAGGGGCCCCGAAGCCTGGCAGCCAGACCTGTGTCCTTCCAGCCCGGTTCCCCCCTGCGTGCACCCTGCTGCTGCCTCCTTTGGAAGCTGGTTTCTGCACGGCCTCCTGCACTGGGCGGGCAGGAAGCGAGGCATGCACTTGCCACTCACCTGCCCGCATTTACTGAGCCCCTGTTTTGTGTTGGGCATAGGGGTGCAAAGCCGGAGTCACTGCCTTGGCTGAGCTTCCAGCCCAGGGTGAGGGGCAGATGTCACCAGTCAGGGTGGTCAGTTCAGGGGAGGGGCTGGTGTCAGGGAAGACATTGAGCTGAGCCCAGAAAAATAAGGAAACATTTACCAGGGAAGGAAGTGAGGGAACAGCATTCTCAGCGGAGGGAATGGCCTATGCAGAGGCCTAGAGGTAGGAGGAAGTGTGGTGCTTTGAGGGAGCAGCAGGTGGTTTGATGTGGTTTTTAATGAGGGGTAGTTATGGGAGGAGTGGCAGGAGATGGGATCAGAAAGGTACCAAGAAGTGGGACTGGAGGGACATGGCCCCAAGCCCCAGAAGTAAGGGTATAGGATATATAGAATGCAGGTTGTTTTGCGGGTCAGGGGCCAGCTGCCCAAGCCAGAGGGGCAGGAGGTCTCCAGGGAGAAGATAACTCCAAACCGGGGTGAGGGTGGCATGCTCGGGGCCCCTTTCCCCACCCTTCTACTCTCAGGAGCTCCTTTCGCCTGCAAGGCTCTGCCTCCAGGTGGATGGAGGTGCCAGGGTGGCTGGGCCCCCCTGGTGCTGATGCCTGTGTCCCTGCCCCGTGCCCAGGGGCGCTCGGTGCTGGATGCCACCGGACAGCGGTGCCGGGTGATCAAACGCAGCTTCGCCTACCCCAGCTTCCTGGAGGAGGACGCGGTCGATGGGGCAGACACATTTGACTCCTCATTTTTTAGTAAGGCAAGCATGGGGTATGGACCCTTGGGGACAGCAGGGACGGGGTGGCCTGGGAGCTGGGAGAGGTGACCTTGGTCTTGATCGTGCTGTGCCAGGAGCCCCTGAGATATCCAGAGGCCCATCGGTGGGAGGGGGTGTGGCCACACATGGAGCTACTGGGCCCCCATCTTTCTGTCGGGCAGAGTGGGGGCCTGGGGTGGGGCACGGGGCGCCAGCCGGGAAAGTCGCCATCACAGCCGACAGGCATGTGGCTTTCCCCTCCATCCTGAAGAGCCTGTCTGTCCAGCCTTGTCCTGCTCTTGAGTTGGGGTTGGGGGCAGTATTTGGGACAGTAACTCCTTATGCTGTCTTCTTGTGTCCCCACCCCAGGAAGAAATGAGCTCCATGCCTGATGACGTGTTCGAGTCTCCCCCACTCTCTGCCAGCTACTTCCGAGGGATTCCTCACTCAGCCTCCCCTGTCTCCTCAGATGGGGTGCAAGTCCCCCTGTGAGTGCGGGGACAGGGTCCCTCCTCTGGCCCAGCCACACAGACTGGGGGTGTCCCCATGCCCTACCCTGGCCCTGAGCCCCTTCCGAGCCCCTGGCTGAGAACCACCCCACCATGCCCACTAGGAAGGAGAGTGGCCGAGCCTCGGTGCCCACGACCAGGCGCGGCAAGCGCATCGCCTCCACGGTGAAGCACTTTGCCTTTGACCGCAAGAAGCGGCACTACGGCCTGGGCGTGGTGGGCAACTGGCTGAACCGCAGCTACCGCCGCAGCATCAGCAGCACCGTGCAGCGCCAGCTGGAGAGCTTCGACAGCCACCGGTGAGCGCGGCCCTTGAGCCCCGCCCTGGGAGCGTCTGGGAACGTCCACATTCCCTGGACCCTCCCCCAAAGCGCCCCTTATTCATACAGCGAGCATTTCACGAGCACCTTCTGTGGGTCAGAAGTGTAGTGACAAGCTCAAAGGCACAGCCTGTCCTGGGGCAGCATGCCCAGGCCCCAGGAAGGGTGCTTGCTGCCTCTCCTCCACCTGCTACTTACTGGGCCTGCATCCTGAGCCCGGCTCCCAGACCGCAGTCAGTCAACAAACATCCACTGAATGCCACTGTACCCAGGCCCCGCAGTGGAGCCCCAAGAGGATGGAGCAGGGAGGAAAGGGTGGGTCAGAGAGAAGCTGGGGCTGGGGGTCAGTGGGGAGGCCATGTACGGAAACATTGGGGAGGTCAGCTGGGAGGGGTGATTTTCGCAGAATATAAGATTAGCAATGACCCAGTAGACATTGAACCCCAAATTACAAAAAACCAAGCAATGACAGGTACGGGGAGTGGCCTGGAGGAGGACAACAGTGAGGGTGAACAGCTGTGGGGAGGGTACAGTCAGGTGAACAGGAATTATGTTGTGTGCAAAGGCCCTGGGGCTGCAGGGAGCGTGGCCTGTTCCGGGAAATGCAAAGAGGCTGGAAAGTGGGCACGTGCAGCAAGGCCGTGCTTTGGGAACTTATCCCAAGGGCAGTAGAAAGCCATCCGAGGGTTTTAAGCCAGGAGAGAGATGCTTGCAGGTGCACCTTAGACCTGGCTCTGGCGCGGGATGAGTTGGCGGGAACTGGAAGCGGAGAGCAGAGAGGCCAGGTGTGGCCCTGGGGCCGGGACTGAGGGTCGTGATGTGAGCTGGGCTTGCCTGACTCGAGCCTCTGCCCCAGGCCCTACTTCACCTACTGGCTCACCTTCGTCCACATCATCATCACGCTGCTGGTGATTTGCACCTATGGCATCGCGCCTGTGGGCTTTGCCCAACATGTCACCACTCAGCTGGTGAGTCTGCTAGACCCCTGGGTGTCCCAGCCCCCACAGGAGGCTTCAGCATTGTGCACACCGAATCCCTCCCACCGCAACAATCTGGCCCAAGTGGGAGGGTGCTCGGGCTCACCAGAGCTGGCCCCTTCTGGGGGCTCCACCCGGGGGACAGCCATCCCACCCCTCGCCCCCCAGCCCACCGTGCCCCCACCACTCTGACACCCTCCCTTGCACGGCCTCTGCGACAGGTGCTGAGGAACAAAGGCGTGTACGAGAGCGTGAAGTACATCCAGCAGGAGAACTTCTGGGTCGGCCCCAGCTCGGTGAGGGCCGGGCTGGGGGACATCTGAGCCGAGAGCCCTGTGCCCTGCCGCCCCCGGCTGGGCAGTCATGCTGCTGGACTGCTCAGCGGCCCCCTCAGCGGAGCAGAGGTGGAGTGCCGGGCCCCTCCCGGGTCTGGGGACTAAGCTCACTCTCCCCCCTGCCCTGCCCCTCCCCGCCCCAGATTGACCTGATCCACTTGGGAGCCAAGTTCTCGCCTTGCATCCGGAAGGACCAGCAGATCCAGCAGCTGGTGCTTCGGGAGCAAGACTTGGAGCGGGACTCGGGCTGCTGTGTCCAGAACGACCACTCGGGCTGCATCCAGACCCAGCGCAAGGACTGCTCGGTGCGGGTGGCCTCCAGCCCTGCTGGACCCTGCTCCTGCACCCGCCCTGGCCGGGGGAGGGGCCCTTGGAAGGCAGTGACCACGTTCCCCCTTTCTCCCTGCCTGCCCTCCTCTGTCCTGCCCCCGCATGCAGACCCAGCTGCTGAGTGGCAGCTGACCTCCCGCGGCCCTGGAGAGGCGAAAGCTGATTTCGGGAGTGGCAGGTGGGGTGGGGGTCTAGAGATGCGCCTGAGCCCTGGGGAAATGGAAAGGCCCCCGTCCTGGAGGGTCCCCTGCCCACTCCAACAGGATGACTTTGCCCCGCATGACCAGCCTCCTCCACCCTCCAGGAGACTCTGGCCACTTTCGTTAAGTGGCAGGATGATACCGGGCCCCCCATGGACAAGTCCGATCTGGGCCAGAAGCGGACATCGGGGGCTGTGTGCCACCAGGACCCCAGGTACAGCCTGGAGCCGCTCTGGGGTCTCAGGGTGACCCACAGCTGGACCACCTGTGGGTGGGGGGACGAGGCAGGCGGGGGAGCCACAGCCTAATCCGATCTTGGCCTCCAGGACCTGCGAGGAGCCCGCCTCCAGTGGTGCCCACATCTGGCCCGATGACATCACCAAGTGGCCGGTGATTGCATGCCCCCTGGCGGAGAATGGTCTGGGAAAGGCGGGGATGCGGGTCCACCCGCCACACAGGCCCACCCCGATTGTGCCCCTCCTGGCAGATCTGCACAGAGCAGGCCAAGAGCAACCACACGGGCTTCCTGCACATGGACTGTGAGATCAAGGGCCGCCCCTGCTGCATCGGCACCAAGGGCAGGTGAGCCACCTGGGGCACCCTGCCTGCTGCGGCCCATCCTGCCGCCTCCCCAGAGCCCCGGCTCCTTCTGGGCCCTCTGCCCCCTCCCCGCCACCTGGGCCGATGCCCTCTGCTAACCGTCCAGAGCCAAGGTCTCTGCAGAAGAGCAGCCCCTTCTGCCAGCGATGCCTGCTACAGCCAGGCGCTGCGCTCCAGGCGAGGTGGGCAGGGGTTCCTCAGGGTCCTGACGCCCCCCTGGCCTCATTACCCCCCCAGCTGTGAGATCACCACCCGAGAATACTGTGAGTTCATGCACGGCTATTTCCATGAGGAAGCAACGCTCTGCTCCCAGGTGAGGCGGGTGAGGCCCGGCGGGTGCCTTGGGTGGGGAGTGAGGGCTTTTGGCCCAGGCAGAGGAAGCTGAGCATGGCAGCCCCCGAAGACCAGGGCTCACACATTCCCTGCCACGTTGGGGCCCCAGACTCAGCCTGTTCCCTGGGGCCTGCCCACCATGCACCCCGCCACCCCCCTTCCAGGTGCACTGCTTGGACGAAGTGTGTGGGCTGTTGCCCTTCCTCAACCCCGAGGTTCCTGATCAGTTCTACAGGCTCTGGCTCTCTCTGTTCCTGCATGCTGGGTAGGAGGCTCCCCCCTGCCCCCTGCCCCTGTGATGGCCACCTACCTGGACCCCCAGAGGAAGGGCTCCTGGGCCAGGGCCGCCAGCCAGGCTGCTCCTGAAGTACCTGGCTGGTGGCCGTGGGCAGGTGTGGGCAGCCCAACACCTGCCGTGTCCCCCACCCCCAGCGTGGTGCACTGCTTTGTGTCCGTGGTCTTTCAAATGACCATCCTGCGGGACCTGGAGAAGCTGGCCGGCTGGCACCGTATCGCCATCATCTTCATCCTCAGTGGCATCACCGGCAACCTCGCCAGTGCCATCTTCCTCCCATACCGGGCAGAGGTAGGGACATAGGGGATGGGAAAGGACCCTCCATGGCCTGAAGCCTTGTGGCGTGTGGGGAGGGCCAGCTCTGCGGCTCCCGCCCCACCCACCCGGATCTGCCAGAGGGACACAGAGCCCCTCCCGTGCAGGGCTCAACGGTGCATGGTCGGGTGAGCTGGGAGCTTATTAGCCAGTCCCTTAACACTGGTGACAGGGAACAATGATGCTGTTGAGTCCCCAGAGATCCCTGACCCCTCCATGCTCAGGGTCACCTCCAGAGAGACGAGACCTTCCCAGACCAGTCTTCTCTGCCTCGTTTCTCTTCATACCCCTGTCCCCACCTGGCAGTACGCCCCATACCTATAGCTCGAGCCACACGGAATTGCCTACATGTGGTCGTCCTTCACCTACGGAAGTGAAAGTCTCTAGATCAGTATAACCCGAGTCTTTGTCACCTTGTTCAGTGTCTGTCGCCTCCCCACTGTGTGCTGCCAGGCAGGATTATCTGTCGTGCTTACTGCGTCTGATCCACACCAGGAATGTACACAGTGGGCGCTCAGCATTTGCTGAAAGGATGGGCGGAGCAGGCCCAGCTTTGGTCTGGCAGTTTCAGCTGGCCCCCGACCCCTCAGCTTCGGGGTCCCCACCCCTGCCAGGAGGGCTCACGGGTGCATGACCAGGGCCGGGCCCGCCCGCCGGGTACCCAGAGGCGCCGCGTCTCCCCTCCCGCCGCAGGTGGGCCCGGCCGGCTCGCAGTTCGGCCTCCTCGCCTGCCTCTTCGTGGAGCTCTTCCAGAGCTGGCAGCTGCTGGAGCGGCCCTGGAAGGCCTTCCTCAACCTCTCGGGCATCGTGCTCTTCCTATTCGTCTGCGGGCTCCTGCCCTGGATCGACAACATCGCCCACATCTTCGGCTTCCTCAGCGGCCTGCTGCTGGCCTTCGCCTTCCTGCCCTACATCACCTTCGGCACCAGTGACAAGTACCGCAAGCGAGCCCTCATCCTGGTGTCCCTGCTGGCCTTCGCCGGCCTCTTCGCCTCCCTCGTGCTCTGGCTCTACATCTACCCGATTAACTGGCCCTGGGTCGAGTTCCTCACCTGCTTCCCCTTCACCAGCCGCTTCTGCGAGAAGTACGAGCTGGACCAGGTGCTGCATTGACCGCCGGCCGGGCCCGGCTGCCACCCCTAGAGCACTGACAACGCAGGGTCTGTGCCTGCAATGGCTGCCCGCCCGCAGGGCACCCTGCCCCGCACACCAAAGGCCCACGGACGGGGGCCTGGGCTCTGGACCCGGGTGTCCTCCTGCCAAGCAAGGCTGACTCTGCGTGAGATGGCCAATAAAAGCGGGTTCCTTGGGGGAGTGAGGTCTGTGGGTTCCCAGGTCCCGACTTCCAGCCCCTTCCCCCTGCTTGGCACATGTTCTGGGAGCGGGTTTCCTTTCTTCCCGGGGGTCTTTGCTGCGGCCCCTGCTGGTGCCTTCTCCCCACTATGACTAGAGCGTGTCCTCGCCAGGGGCAAGGCTGCTCTTCGGTCGGTTGTGCCCAGGGCTGGATGCCCACCACGGCCCCTTCCTGTTTCTCCTTGTCCCTCTGCCCTGAGCCCACCCACAGGGCTCCCAGATGGGACACCGTGGAAGAGGCTTTGGTCACAGTCTCAGGCAGAGAACACGCAAGGACACACTAGATGGATGCCGAGAGCTTTGCGTGTTCTTGGTAGCCAGAGGCTGTGTCCCCACCCGCCCCAGCCCTCCCTTCGTCCAGTGTCCGCTGACAGCTTGCTCTGGGAAGGGCGGACCTGCACCCCAGGGTGCTCAAGGCTCAGTCAGGCCCGTTGTCGACCAGTTTATATTATGGTCCTAATTTTTAAAAAGTAACGCTAACTTTGTATGGACGGTGTCTCAACTGTATTAAATGATATTCTTTATGGAAGTATTGTCTTAACTGGAGATCTCAGAATGAAGCTGGGATTTTGGGAGGTGAAGGGTGGCCATGGGGAGCTCAGAGCCAGTGGTTTGGCCCAAGGAACAGTGGAAAACTTGTGGGGCTTCTCAGGGGTTTAGCTGGTCCAGAAATCAGCTCGGGCTGACGTGGGAGACCTCAGGGGGCCCCACCCCCACCTTGGCTCCGGGGCAGGGAGGGGGCTATCTGGGCCCTGGCAGAGATGGCTCTGGGGAGCAGCTCAGCACCTGTCCACCACTCCAGCCGGGCCAAGCCCTCCCTGCGCCTGAACCTCCCCCACAGCCCTGCTCAGCACACCAGAGAGCCGCCAGGGAGGCAGCAGGCGAACCGCCTCATTGCTGTGGGCAGCGGAGCCAGCGCCGGGCTGCGGGGCAGCAGGAGGGGAGAGTGGGCCTGGGGAGACAGGTGGGCCACAGCGGGTGCCCCGGAGTGGGCAAAGAAGTGGCCCCTGCACTTACTCCCCTGCCCGATGCTGCCGCCATCTCACGGGGCTGCCTGTCCCTGTCCTGCTCCCAGCCACCCCATCCAGGGCTATCCTGAGCACCAGGCTCCTGTGAGCTGCAGCCTCGCTGCTCAGCTTCCTGCCTGCCTGCCCAGGGGAGGAAATGAGGCAGGGACCCGAGAACGCGTCCCAGTGTCCCCGTGTACCAGCCCAGCCGGGTCTCTGGCACAGAGCTTGGAATGCAGGAGGTGCAGAGGGCCTGACAAGGACAGACAGGACACTCGCTGTGCTCTGAGCGGCCGGGGCTGGGCTTTATTTGCCTCTCCCCTCCCCACTCGCCCACGGCCAGTCCCCCCTCGTGCTCCGGCCGTGCTGGGCCAAGCCCAGGGCAGAGATAGAGACGTGCCGCCCACGTCTCCCATGGCCAGGTGGGCAGCCAGTTCAGCAGCCGCTGTTCCTGCGCAGGAAGGCCTGCGCCCGCAGGGAGCACTGGAGCTCCGTGAAGGTGAGGGGGCCCACGATGACGTCGCACGGGCCCACGGCGTGGAAGCCAAGCTTCTCGTAGAAGGGCACGAGCGCGTCCTCGCACATGAGCACAGCCCGGCGCACAGCCGGCTGGCCACCCAAATGGTGCAGGTAGCGCCACAGCAGGACGGAGCCCCTGCCCTGCTGCCGGAAGGTGCGGTGCACGGCCAGCACGTGCAGGTGGGCCGTGTGCCCCCCAGGCCTGTGCAGTGTCAGCGACTCCTGGAGGCCAGTGAGGGACATGAGTCCAGGTCACCTCTGCTGACACATGTTCCCCCAAACCACCTGGCCTGGGCCAAGAGCAGGTATCCCCTGAGTGCCTCCAGTCAGGGCCCCCTTCCCACCCAAGGAGGGCCCCAAATTGGGAGCTATACTTCCAGCCCTGTGGAGGAAACTTCTTGAAGATCCAGAAGGGGTGGGCATCTTGCCCTGGGAGGGGACCTGTGGCCTGAACTCTTCTCTCTGGTTCTGGAGGAAGAAATCCCACCCCCTGGGCCCCCTCCCCACCATCTGGTGAACCCCTGTCTTCCGAGGCCTTCCAGGAGCTGGGCACCGCAGCCCACCCCGCCCTCACCTGAGTGAGTCTCTCCTGGTCCCAGAGTGAGCCGATGATGAAGGCCACAAGGCGGCCCTCCTCAAACCAGCCCAGGGATAGCTCGGGACACAGGGCCAGGAAGTGCCGGATCTCGTCCAGGTATAGGGGGCAGAGGCCCGAGACAGAGACGAAGGCTGTGGCACGAGGCAGGGGGGAGGGGTGACTCTAGTCACCGCCGTATGCCCCCCTCCCCACCCCCCCGTGCCTGCACCGGAGTCCTCCCACCTTCATGAACACACATGCACAGTCTGGGACCCGGCCTCCAAGGACAGGAGGCTCAAGGGTCTCCACAGGACAACCAGACCAGAGTGGAGCCTCCTCCTCGCCCCCACGCGGGCTACTCACCTTCACGCTCGATCTCAAACGCGCTTACGGCATCCTCCACAGTGAGGCAGCGAAACTCGCTGGCAGGGAGCGTGTGGCGCCGCTGGCAGCTTGGGGACTCAGGAATCCCAGGCGGCAGGCGCAGGGCCTCGGGTTTCAGGGGGTGGATGCTCTGGGTGAACATCCTGGCCATCGGGGTGCCCCAGCTGTGGAAGCACCTGCTGGGGAGGAGCGAGGGGCAGGGTGCGGGCCTCGTCTCCGTGGAGGCAGGCCACAGAGGTGCTGCATCTGGCCTCTCGTAGCAGGAACTGGGGTGGGGCCACCCCAAAGCCATAGGCACATCCCCCAGGTACCTGGCCCCCGAGGCAGTTTCCAGGGACTGCAAACGTGGGCCTCTCTCACCTTTCCCTTGAACCTGGAAGGACACATGGAGCAGCCCCTGCAAACCTTCAGATGCTGTCTCACACTCTCCGGGCGCAGCTGAGCCCAGAGAAGGTGGGAGTCATGGGTAGGGCACCCCAACACTGGTGCCAGCAGAGGGAGGGGAAGGAGGGCATGAGCCTCCACTGCCCACTTCTAAAGCAACTGTTTAGCGGGTGGGCACCTGGGCCCCCCCACTGCCACCCATGTGGTTTGTCTTACCTCCCAGAGGGAGACGTCTTGTCTCTGGGTGCAAGACGGTGTGGCTGGGAGCTTTTTAGGAAGCCTCGGCCCTCAGTCCTGGGAAAAAGCCCCTTAATCAAAGGGGGCGCTTAGGGGACTCCACGCTTACCCAGATGGCCACAGACTGAGCCATGCACACACAGGATTCAGTGGGCGGAGGCTAGAGGGAGTCGGGGGCTGCAGCAGTTCTGGGGGAGGGTGGGAAGGAGCAGACACAGAGGGTGCACAAGACACCCCCCGCCCTTGTGCCTGGCTCATGGGGCCCCCTTGTCTCTCTCCACGACACCCTGCAGATTTGCAGTTCTTAGAGGAGGCCATCCCTCCCTTCGCCTCCAAACACACTTAAAAAGCCCCATGGCGTCCACCTTTCTCCCCATGTCTAGAAGTTCTGAGCAGGGCAGCTCCTATTCCCAAAGGCTGAGAGCCACAGCCAGGGGTCTCACTTACCTCGCCTGCAGGGAGGGAGCCCCAGTGTTCCCTCCACAGAGTCAGTCACCGTCACCCTGGAGGCCCATCTGCAGGCGCAGGGACCAGGAAAATCCACGACTCCTGGCTGCAAGGCTATCGTAGCAGGTGTCACTCGGGCAGCATGTGATGTTGTTCTCAGAGATTTCTAATCCCTGCCACCCTGCCTCCCGCTTTACACCAGGCAGGGTGATGCCAGCTCCATGGCCTGTCCCTGCCCCGCTGAGGGCAAACGTCAGTGCTGGCGCGCTGCACGCGGAGGGATTACCAGCGGCCGGCTGAGGCCCCAGGGTTTGGGGAAAAGAGCAAAGGGCTAAGCCTCAGAGCTCCAGCTCTAATCCCTGTTCTGTCACCAACTGGCTAGGCACCGACAATTCGCCCTCTGTCCCTCGGAGGCTTGGGCGGCACATTCCCGAGGGTCCTTCCTGTCCTGGCAGCCTGTGAGTGCTGCCATTTATAGCACTCGCTACATGCTGAGCCCAGGGTAAGCGTCTCTTTAATCCACACAGCCGCCATGACAGGTGAGTATTAACCCATCTTATAGAGAAGGCCACTGAGAGAGGTTAAATAACCTACCCAGAGCCGCCCAGAAGGTACGTGAGGTGGGAGAGGCAAACCCTGGCTGGCCCCCCATCACACACTGTCTCTGTGTTGGTGGTGGATGGCTGGTTCACATCCTCTCGGTTCTCCTGCTGTTGTCAGTGTCCTCAAGTCAGGGTCTACAGCAGCGACAGGCATCAGCCTTGGGAAGAAATGGCCCCAGGACGTGCAGCTGAAGTTGACAACTCTGGAGCAGCACACAGGGCTAGACTGTACAGGTGTGGGGTATGGCAGCAGCATTCAGGCCTTGCTGCGTAGACAGTGGCAAGCAGCTGAACGGGCCTGATCCTTGGATGACACTTTTCGTCCTGCCCTCCTCATAAATGACCTTCTCTATCGCATATGAAATCAAAGTCTAGTTGCCCAAAGTGCACCTCTTCTGGGGAAAATTCCCAAATCCAGAGGTGGGAGTCAATCCCCATCTTCCTCACTCTCCAGCATTACTTCGGTCATTGCTCATCCATCCACTGCCAAAACCAACCCAAACGAGCAAATGTCCTCAGGGACACGGGCCTCCTCCCTTTCTGCTCCACCCTGCCTGTCTCCAGGGCCTGTGGTCACCCTAGGGTACTTAAATAGCCAGGAGGCGATACAGCCACCACCTGGGAAGACTTCAGCAGGACCCACGAAAGCAGGACATAACCATACCCCAGGACCACACTCCCAGCCCTTTGCGTACTAAATGCTGAAAGAGCAGAAATGTTCCCAGCAGCACTTTTCATAATGTTCCCAAACCGGAAACAACACAATGACCATGCGCTGTCAGAGGCATTGTGGAACAGACACAATACGGAATACCATACGGCAATGAGAACAAATCAACCTCGACAGCCCACAGCATCAGGGGTGACACTCACCAACACAGCGTTGAACAAAAAAAGCCTGAAAATAGGAGTGATACCATGTGATTCCAGGGATTGGATTTCGATCTGTGTGTTAGGATCAGGAGAGTGGCTGCCCGGGAGCCTTTTGGAGTGCTGGTAATGTAACATTCATTTCTTAAATTGAATGCTTATTTTGGGGAGGTGGTGGAAATTCTCCAAGCTGCCAATCTGGGCACTTTCCTGTCTATATGTTCTACTTAAAGTTTACCTAAATATTCAGGAGTTTGCTCTACCCAACATCTCAACTGCAAAGACTGCCATTGACCTTGGCTGCCCCGGGGCCCCATCAGCACCTGGTGCCAGCTTTCCCTCTGGGTCCAGGACCCTCTCTCTGTCCCTCAGCCTGCCCTGGCGCCCCTCCCCTCCAGCTGACACCCCGTCCTGCACCTCTTAGCTCTTCCCTTGCCCTCACCTGCCCGTCCTTCCACCGCACACATCCCCGCCCTGTCAGCGCCTGGCCTCTACACCCCACACAGCAGTGGTCCTCAGCTCATTCAGGCTCCCAAGGTCCCCAGAGCTCCCATCCCGCAGGTGCACTCCGGCTGCACATGCAGAGGGAACACCTGCTCTTCCCCGTGACCCTCTGGGGAGAGACCGAGGGCCAGTCCTGACCCCCTGACCTTGGAGTGGCCAGGGCCAGTCCAGACACCTCCACCCACCACTGCATGCACCCTTTCTCCTGTCTGTGGGTCTCCTTCTCCCAGGGCCCCTCTCTGCAGTCTGAGGCCCACCAGAATCCCCGGGGATCACCACGCTGCCTCAACCGCCTGCCCCGCGTAGCTCCCCATCTTTTCCCTCCAGGAACCCCCGACAGACCTCTCAGGACTGACCAGAAGACCTCCTCAGGCTTGGCCTTTGGGCCTCCTGGGGGGAACATGGAACACCAGGACCTCAGCTGTCCAGTGTCCCCAAAAAGGCCTTCTCTGTTCCCTCGCAGACTCTGTGGCTCCATTGCACCCCCTGGTGGCCAATCACAACCGCTTGGCGCTGCCTTGGAGCAGCAATGACTACGACAACATGGCTCTATTCTTTCTGGAAAACACCTCTAAACGCCTGGAACCTCAGAGAA